CACGCCGTGCACGGTGAGCGCCAATCATTTTGATGCACTCCCCCGAAGGGAACGCTAATTCGGGAACTGAACCGTAGTCCACAGCAAAATAACTGGCGAACCAGTAAAAGAGGCTTGGTCCCTTGTTAGTGCGTAAGCACAAACATCGACCGAAGTCGCGCATGTCAATGCGTGTAAACGCCAAAAAGAATACGAACGAGTCCAGCCACAGTGAATGTACGTCACACGGTTTAGGCAAATAGGCACACTGGCCGTAAACCCTCCGTGAGCGCCACCACCTGCCAGACCGCCGCTCCTGCAGACGTGATGTTAGTGTATGGCATCACCACCAATTGCATGATCAGCACGGCTCTAGCCGCAGAGCGTGTCATGAGTCTACCGCTCACCTCAAGGGAATGGGGTCCCACGTTGTGCGGCTTTCGGCCGCAGCCTTGAGAGTCTCCTCAGATCCTCCCGCCAGCTACCACCCGCATGAGGTCGACACATATGCTCCACCAACCAATACAACGGCAGATATAGCCAAAAGGCAGTTATAAGATAAAAGTAATAATTCGCCATCAGAAAGGGTTTGTGTCACTGACGTTGAGTAAATGCATTTTCGATCATGTTTGTCTCACCCACCAACAAGTTGCCTTCAATCATTCAAAGGTGGGAAAGTTACATATATATGCTATGTTGTTATATAAAACATCGTGGAGGGCAGACAGTCTGCAGCCCCGTAATGAAGGGACCCGACTTGGGCAAAGCTACTCAGGTGTGAGTCAAACCAAGACGCAGAGAGCGCCATTGAGAATAGCGTCCCACCAAACAACCATCGCAGAGACGCAATGCTGCAGAACGCAACAAGCATCAATACGACTATCGTCGGGCTTACACCATCCCAAGGTCCCCCATACATCCCAGCAGACATCACCACCCGCATACCTCCATCGACCAGAACTACAAGAATGCGTCGAATCAGGCGCAGCACACCCGCAGATCCATCACAAGACGCAATACCGCAAGTAGCAGTAAGCATCAATGCAACTATCGTACGGATGGCGCCCTCTCACAACACACCCACATGGCCCCTATCAATTTTGGTAACAAAGTTTTTATTGTTGTTATATAAAAAATATCACCAACGTATCATAGTAGCACGCTACTAAGACGCCAATGAACAGAACTCCACGTATCATAGCGCTAATGCACTAAGACATGAAGTTGAGTATGCCTGTTACACTTAAAAGTGCTACCAAACACACTCATCATCCCAATCTGAAATATAGACGACGCATCGCTATGCGCTACTACGCCGCTCACAAACGGTATGGGAGTGCGATGTCCACGGGAAAACCGTATTGCTACAACAAACCCGCTTAGCACCGGCACTAAGATCTTATTTGTTTACCTCCATCGACCAGAACCACAAGAATGTGTCGAATCAGGCGCAGCACACTCGCAGATCCATCACAAGACGCCATACCGCAAGTAGCAGTAAGCATCAATGCAACTATCATACGGATGGCGCCCCCTCACAACACACCCACATGACCCCTATCGATTTTGGTAACAAAGTTTTTATTGTTGTTATATAAAAAATATCACCAACGTATCATAGTAGCACGCCACTAAGACGCCAGTGGACAAAACTCCACGTATCATAGCGCTAATGCACTAAGACATGAAGTTCAGTATGCTGGTTACACTTAAAAGTGCTACCAAACACACTCATCCCAATCCGAAAGATAGACGACACATCGCTATGCGCTACGACGTCGCCCACAAACGGTATGGGTGTGCGATGTCCACGAAAAAGCCGTATTGCTACAACAAACCCGCTTACCACCAGCACTAAGATGATATGTCTAGGACACATCTGTTAGCGAGCCCAAGTTTACCTCGGACCAATTGCTCGTGAAGCAGCATACACGCCACCATAATATTCCTTTTCAAGTCCCTAATAAGGACTAGTCATTTTGCTACAGTACTAGGAGCAGTCGGTCACCCGACCACTCCATACAATGCTTATGCGTCAAGTAGACCTCCTATAATATTGCTTTTGTATCATAGACCTTACTTTCATAAGTCATTAATATATAGGGTTCGAACCCACGACCCTACTATTGTAATGCATATTAATCATAGAGACCTTCTATAGTATTGGTTTTGTATCATAGACCTTACTTTCATAAGTCATTAATATATAGGGTTCGAACCCACGACCTTACTTATTATATATTATTATATATTATTGTAATGCAAATTCATCATGGAGACCTTCTATAGTATTGCTTTTGTATCATTGAGTTTATTATCATAAGTCCCTAATATGGCAGTAGTCATTGTGCTACAGTACTTCAGGCAGTCGGGCTCCCGACCACCCCATATATATGTACAACTGCAGGTATGTATCTCCGGCAGCTCCTCTATACAAGACATCTATACATGAACACCTTCCATAACTTAGGAAACTTTTCTTTTATACGTGAACTCCTTCCACAACTTAGGAAATTTCTTTTATACACGAACTCCTTCAACAACTTAGGAAATTTTTTTTTATACATGAACTCCTTCCACGACTTAGACAATTTTCAACAAATTTTCTAATTATCTTATAAATGTTATTTATCTTTATTTTTATAATATTTTCGACTTGTATTTCTATTAATTATCTTATTTTAAATATTTTTTCAAGTTTTTAATAAATTTATTTATTATGAAAGACAATATTTTGCCTTTAATTTACTATGTTATTGGTCTAATGTCTGAAATGTATTTATATCAAACTTATATTAACTTTATGGTTATTAATGTAATTTTATTGTTTAATATATATCTTTTAAGACTATTTTTGACGCCCCTTTATATTGAATTTAATTATTAATAATAATATTGGGCAGTCACAGTATGTTATATTCTTTATAATAATGTCCTACAGATCGAGTTTTGGTCATGGTGACCTGCCTCAACGGAGACTAGCCATCGGCGCAGAACAGGATTATATTGCCTCAGTCTATGCGCAAGTACAGGTGCACTCTCTGTTTCCTCAATCTCAATCCGAACGAACAGTAAACTGACACGACCGGAAAGAGATCAGGCGTAGGACCAACGCCTTTACGAGCTTTCCGAGGCATGGGGGTAAGACACCGCCAACTTCTTGACTCCAGACGGCAACTGAGGATTTCTTGAGAGAAAAACTCAATAATTAATTTTTGGCCCGACCCGGGATTCGAACCCAGGATGTTTAGTATTTTTTATATATGTATGTTGACGGCCACTAATTGTACATTTATTATACAGTTTGTTAGCAGTGTTTATGTAATATAATATTGTATGTGTAGGAAGGTAGTTAAATAGAATTAATTTACAATCACAAAATACATGGATCATAGGTCAACTATAAATTGTACTGAGAATAATTTAATAGCTTATAATAATAATTAATTCGTTTCCACGAATTAGTTATCCGAATAGTCTAGGATGAGTAGCAGCGGGATACAAGTGAACCGTGCCACGCCAGAGCCATAACCACAGAACACTAATACCCTTAGGCGGGAAGAATGTCAACCTCAAACAAAGAAAATGGCACCCATAATGCACGCCATCTCTGTCATGCCCCACTAAAACTTTTTGCGCGGGAATTTTGAAACCTGATTTTTTTTTAGTTGGCGTCTTGGTAGTATCGTTTCAAAAATGGCTTAAGAATCTAAAATACCATATAGATAGATATCGCTTGTAGTTTTTCGTTTCAATGATATATATTGCTAAATTAAAACGAAAACAAAAGCACAAAGTTATTTGTAAATTATGGTACTTTACATTCATAAACCACTTTTGAAACGATTAGCAATCATTTTAATATAAAAAAGGAACTATTTTTCAAATAAAAGTGGTTTTTGAAATACATAATTTTTATTTACATTACATACTTGTCCACATTGGTACATAGAAAAACCGTTGGTACATTGATGGACGTAAGTGACGTAGTAATTAACTAATTTATCTTTATGCATGTAAACAGTTCTCAACAGCTCTTAACTAAATATCGATTTAATAGTTAAGTAGTTATGTAAAGCAGAATAGTCTATTTTTAAGAGGTAGGCGTATTTTAGCGAAGTATAGGAAATAAGCATTCTCGTAACTTCGCTAAAACACGTGTCAATGATTATTAGTTTATAGCTAATTAGTTCATCACTTCACCTATTAAGTAAACGGCATATGTAACATGACATTTAAGCAAAATGGAAGGTAAAGGTACATTAGTTTTATATAAAAAAAGATTAGACAATTTAATATAAACACTTTTTTCTAACAAGAAAACATTATTTACCTTCACATTCTACAAACAAGGCAATAGCTTTGCAATATTATATCTAAACTCCAATAACCTGATTATATTATGGATGCCACCAATAATATTAAATTTGTAGAAATTATTTTCGTTATATTATTGTTATTGACTGCATTAAAAAATAATAAGTCAACATTTTCATGTCATTAATTAGCACTACCTGCTGCAAATCCATCAACGAAAAACACAAAGGATAAAGATATGTTAATAAAAATGAAATATCATCTGAGAAAAATTAACAGGCTTCAAAAACTGTAAAGCATCTAAAGAATGAAGCATGGTTGTTTCAGCTTTTTACGGATTCCGCCATTCATGAACACGAGGGCATGTGTTGCCATTTGTGGTGGCCTGCCCTGCAATGCATGGCCTAGATAACCCTCAATTATGTCCTCCTTTTTGTTGTAAAACAAATTCTTTTTTATTGACATCTCATCAAACATAAGGATATACTCATTGTCTGAGAGAGTCTGTTGCTTTATTGTTTTTTTCAAAACATTAAAATTTTGGTCATTAATACCAACTTTCATGTGAAACTTGCTTAATAACGCTTTTAATGAACTAGGTGTTGGCAGGCAAATCATCCTTCTTAATAATTTGTAACACCTAGGTGACCTTTTATACAGTCTTACTGCTATTATTTTGGAGTCCAAGTTCCATCTTCGACCTTTTAATTTTTTTTATTGTTTTGCAATTCTCCTTGCAAAAATAATGCAAAAGAGGGGGATATTTTACATTTTAATATTTCATTTACTGAATCATTTTTGCTCAATACTTTGAGAAATGCTTCATTCTTGAGATGCTCTATAGTTTTTTGAAGCCTGTTAATTTTTCTCAGATGATATTTCATTTTTATCAACATATCTTTATCCTTTTTGTTTTTCGTGGATGGATTTGCAGCAGCAACAGGGTTGATATTCTCAGTTACTTGGGGAATAGCACTAGTTTTGTCAGGAATGGTCTTATAATGCACATTCTCATACAAGGGTTGTATACATTTTGACGGACCCGCAACCGGCTCAAATACATTTGGAACAGTTATAGTCTTCTGAATATTTTCAGACAGTGGTTGTTTAGTAGTTGATGGACCCGCAATATGTTGAATGACATTCCTTTGTTCCAAATTAAGGTCAGCTAATGTGATCTGAAAATTAGAGATTATCAAATCATTATTTATATCATGTATCCCAGCATTGATCAACCTATCTCTAAATTACAAACAGCCTTATAAATTTATAAACATTAAATACAACTTGTTTTTATTAATGAATGTTGCTTTAACCCATTACCACCACTACTTACTTATGGCTGCGAAACTTGGGCACTTTCTAAGCAGCACCGAGATATGCTCGAACATTGTCAAAGAGCCATGGAAAGGAGCATGCTAAGAATCAGAAAAATAGATAAGCAAAGAAACACATACATAAGAACAAGAACAGGTGTGACAGATATTCTCACCAAGATAGACCAAATGAAGTGGAGATGGATAGGTCATATGCTATGGAGCCCTCAAGATAAATGGAGCTATATTATTATGTGTGGGGTATCTATATAGTTTTCTCATCTGGTTGGGATCTATAAATATATAATTATAAATTAAAATGAAAAGATAAATATACATAAATATCAATAAAATAAAATAAATACAAAAAAAATACACAAATAAATAAAGATCCAACCAGATGGAAGCCCTCGGCAGGGGAGACCAAACGGCCGAGGGTTAGGGGGAAAGGGAAAGAAACCGACGGACGATGCGGGCGGTATCGAGGACCACTGCCTTCTGCATTTGAGCCCGGAGCGGTCCGTCACGGAGTCCCAGTCGCCTCAGATGACCCGAGAGGCTGACTGGGATTAGCCCGTTTGCAGAGACGACTACAGGAATAATTTCGGTCGGCAGACCACCCCACATGTCGGTCACCTCGTGAGCCAGGTCCAGATATTTTGTTTGCTTATCTGTTTCGGTTTTCACGAGGTTCTCGTCATACATAAATGTAGTTTTTCGTTTCAATGATATATATTGCTAAATTAAAACGAAAACAAAAGCACAAAGTTATTTGTAAATTATAGTACTTTACATTCATAAACCACTTTTGAAACGATTAGCAATCATTTTAATATAAAAAAAGGAACTATTTTTCAAATAAAAGTGGTTTTTGAAATACATAATTTTTATTTACATTACATACTTGTCCACATTGGTACATAGAAAAACCGTTGGTACATTGATGGACGTAAGTGACGTAGTAATTAACTAATTTATCTTTATGCATGTAAACAGTTCTCAACAGCTCTTAACTAAATATCGATTTAATAGTTAAGTAGTTATGTAAAGCAGAATAGTCTATTTTTAAGAGGTAGGCGTATTTTAGCGAAGTATAGGAAATAAGCATTCTCGTAACTTCGCTGAAACACGTGTCAATGATTATTAGTTTATAGCTAATTAGTTCATCACTTCATCTATTAAGTAAACGGCATATGTAACATGACATTTAAGCAAAATGGAAGGTAAAGGTACATTAGTTTTATATAAAAAAGATTAGACAATTTAATATAAACACTTTTTTCTAACAAGAAAACATTATTTACCTTCACATTCTACAAACAAGGCAATAGCTTTGCAATATTATATCTAAACTCCAATAACCTGATTATATTATGGATGCCACCAATAATATTAAATTTGTAGAAATTATTTTCGTTATATTATTGTTATTGACTGCATTAAAAAATAATAAGTCAACATTTTCATGTCATTAATTAGCACTACCTGCTGCAAATCCATCAACGAAAAACACAAAGGATAAAGATATGTTAATAAAAATGAAATATCATCTGAGAAAAATTAACAGGCTTCAAAAACTGTAAAGCATCTAAAGAATGAAGCATGGTTGTTTCAGCTTTTTACGGATTCCGCCATTCATGAACACGAGGGCATGTGTTGCCATTTGTGGTGGCCTGCCCTGCAATGCATGGCCTAGATAACCCTCAATTATGTCCTCCTTTTTGTTGTAAAACAAATTCTTTTTTTATTGACATCTCATCAAACATAAGGATATACTCATTGTCTGAGAGAGTCTGTTGCTTTATTGTTTTTTTCAAAACATTAAAATTTTGGTCATTAATACCAACTTTCATGTGAAACTTGCTTAATAACGCTTTTAATGAACTAGGTGTTGGCAGGCAAATCATCCTTCTTAATAATTTGTAACACCTAGGTGACCTTTTATACAGTCTTACTGCTATTATTTTGGAGTCCAAGTTCCATCTTCGACCTTTTAATTTTTTTTATTGTTTTGCAATTCTCCTTGCAAAAATAATGCAAAAGAGGGGGATATTTTACATTTTAATATTTCATTTACTGAATCATTTTGCTCAATACTTTGAGAAATGCTTCATTCTTGAGATGCTCTATAGTTTTTTGAAGCCTGTTAATTTTTCTCAGATGATATTTCATTTTTATCAACATATCTTTATCCTTTTTGTTTTTCGTGGATGGATTTGCAGCAGCAACAGGGTTGATATTCTCAGTTACTTGGGGAATAGCACTAGTTTTGTCAGGAATGGTCTTATAATGCACATTCTCATACAAGGGTTGTATACATTTTGACGGACCCGCAACCGGCTCAAATACATTTGGAACAGTTATAGTCTTCTGAATATTTTCAGACAGTGGTTGTTTAGTAGTTGATGGACCCGCAATATGTTGAATGACATTCCTTTGTTCCAAATTAAGGTCAGCTAATGTGATCTGAAAATTAGAGATTATCAAATCATTATTTATATCATGTATCCCAGCATTGATCCACCTATCTCTAAATTACAAACAGCCTTATAAATTTATAAACATTAAATACAACTTGTTTTTATTAATGAATGTTGCTTTAACCCATTACCACCACTACTTACTTATGGCTGCGAAACTTGGGCACTTTCTAAGCAGCACCGAGATATGCTCGAACATTGTCAAAGAGCCATGGAAAGGAGCATGCTAAGAATCAGAAAAATAGATAAGCAAAGAAACACATACATAAGAACAAGAACAGGTGTGACAGATATTCTCACCAAGATAGACCAAATGAAGTGGAGATGGATAGGTCATATGCTATGGAGCCCTCAAGATAAATGGAGCTATATTATTATTTTTGGGGTATCTGTATAGTTTTCTCATCTGGTTGGTTTCTATAAATATATAATTATAAATTAAAATGAAAAGATAAATATACATAAATATCAATAAAATAAAATAAATACAAAAAAATACACAAATAAATAAAGATCCAACCAGATGGAAGCCCTCGGCAGGGGAGACCAAACGGCCGAGGGTTAGGGGGAAAGGGAAAGAAACCGACGGACGATGCGGGCGGTATCGAGGACCACTGCCTTCTGCATTTGAGCCCGGAGCGGTCCGTCACGGAGTCCCAGTCGCCTCAGATGACCCGAGAGGCTGACTGGGATTAGCCCGTTTGCAGAGACGACTACAGGAATAATTTCGGTCGGCAGACCACCCCACATGTCGGTCACCTCGTGAGCCAGGTCCAGATATTTTGTTTGCTTATCTGTTTCGGCTTTCACGAGGTTCTCGTCATACGGAATGGTAATGTCGACCAAAAATATCCTTGAATGTGCCCGGTCCATCAGCACAATATCAGGCTTATTTGCAAGAATAGTCCTGTCTGTGATGATGGCCCGGTCCCAGTAGAGCCTGGCGCGGTCATTTTCGAGCACGGCTTCCGGCAAGTACTTGTAATACGGCAATTTCCGGTCCACGAGACCGTATTTCAGAGCGAGCGCCTGGTGTAGAATTCTGGCTACTAGGTTGTGCCTGTGCAAGTACTCGGAGTTAGAAAGCGCCGAACAACCGGAGATGATATGTCTAAGTGACTCCCCGGGATGGCGACAAGCTCGACAGACGTCGACGGTGCCATCCTTTAGGATGTATCTCCGATAGTTGTTGGTCTTAATAACCTGATCCTGTATTGCACAGACAAAACCCTCGGTTTCCCCGAAGAGGTCACCGAAACGTAGCCAGTTGAGGGAGGCGACTGTATCTACGAAGGGCTCATGTAGAACCCTGTAGTACCTCCCGTGGAGCTCCTTCTCCTTCCATACGGTCTCCCGGTCGGAAATGCTAAGCACTGCTGGGTCCTGCCATTGCTCGTTGGCCAAGGATAGAGGGGTAAGCCCTTTATCACTAGAAATGACGTCATTATAGAATGGATCATCCGATCTCGCCAGGAAGTAATGACGGAGGCTGCACACTTCACGATTATGCATAGTGAGCGCGCTTAGAAAGCCACGCCCACCATGCTTTCGCGGCAAGTACAGCCTCATTACCGACGATCTCGGATGATGCATCCTATGGGACGTCATGGTAGTGCGGACTTTTCTATCCAGGGCGTTAAGTTCAGTCTGAGTCCACCTGAGTATGCCAAAGGTATACATAAGGACAGGCATGACCCAACCGTTATATGCGTGTGTCTTATTCACACCGGACAAAAGGCTATTAAGCACTTTGGTCAAGCGTGCATAAAACACGTCGCAAACTGACTGTTTCACACCAGCCTCATCGATACCGATGTTCTGTGACATACCCAGGTATCGGTATGTTTCAGCCTCGGAAAGGGTCCTTAAGTTGACGGGCATAGATAAATCTATGCCCTCAGAGTTAGCAACCCTTCCCCTCTCAACATGGAGGACCGCACACTTATCCGTCCCCAGCTCCATTCCAATGGAACTGCTAAACTCACAAGTGATTTTTAGCAATTCCACAAGATGGGAGCGACTGGAGGCGAATAACTTAAGGTCGTCCATATAGAAAAAGGTGGGTCACTTTTGTCCCTCCTTTCCGTAGCTGAAATCCTCTCCCGGATCCCTCCAGTAAGGTACTGAGAGGGTTCAGGGAGAGGCAGAACCAGATTGGACTCAGACAATCGCCCTGGAAGATACCCCTTCTTATCCTTATGTGGTTCTCCGCAGCCATCATCCGCTCACCCAGATGACAAAGGATCGTACTCCACTGCCCCATACACAGCTCGAGGAAGTCTCTCACTGTACAGTCTATCTTGTACAGCTCGAGGACTCTCTTTAGCCATGTATGGGGCACCGAGTCGAATGCCTTTCTGTAGTCTATCCAGGCGGCGGAGAAGTTCCGACGGTTGCGTTTCACCACTTTGCCAATGACCGCGTCAATGAGGAGTGGTTCCTTAGTTCCACGACCACCGCCCCGACATCCATTTTGAGCGCGTGACATCACCTGATTTAGCTCCAGGTGACGAGTGATTCTCGCGCTCAAAATGGATGTCAGTGTCTTATATATGGTGGGTAGACACGTAATGGGGCGGTATTTGCTCGGGTCTGTGGTAACCTGGTCTTTAGGAACCAAATGAGTGATCCCAGTAGTGAAGAGGCTAGGGAGCGACTTCTGGTTGAGAGCCTCTTGAAACTGACGGGCGAGCACAGCGTGACACACCATGAACCCCTTCAGCCAGTAGTGATGCAGTCAGTCGAGTCCCGGACTTTTCCAGTTCGGGGCTCTACGGACCGCCTCAGCTACGTCATCCGGCGTTATGATGACGGGGTCCATGGGCGTAATACTCGCACACTGACTCGCCACAACTTCCGTCCAAGGGCCCTCGCTGTGGTTTACGGGCTCTGACCACAGGCCACGCCAAAATGCGACAGTGTTAGCCTGATCCGGTCCTGGGCCCGCTCCACATACCTCTGGTCGCTCCAATGATTTGTAGAGCCTCTTCTGATCACTCTGGAAGAGACGATTCTGGTTGAACCGCCTTGACCTCTCGGTAAATCGGTGAATCCGCTTCCCCCAAGCAGCAATCTTTTGCTTCAGGTCGTCTATGCGCTCCGTTAGTTTCTGCGTGATATCCGGCTGGGACAAACTGATATTTGTCCCAGCAAACGCCATTCTAACGGTGCGCACAACCCTCGGTCTATTATTACCCGACCTGAAGCTTATCAGTCTGCTGATAAGGGCCCTTGCCTTTGCGATACGGTCCTCAATTCTTTTTCTCCAGGCTGGGATGGCGCTACTTTGTTTAGTAGCGCGTCCAGCCATGGGAAGTTTGGCGCCAATAATACGGCAAGCTGCCACTGCGGCGCCAAAAAGAACTGAGTCCGTCTCGCAAAGGTCCCGGCCGGCTTCCAAATAGGTTACCAGCATTGGGTTAAGAGCCCTCACGACAGCCCGATTTCGCTTGCTTAGGGGTATGCGGGGGAAGTCGCGGTCGATTTTCGAGAGGCATGCTGCGCGTTTCTAAAATCGCCTCTTCCAATATACTCCTCATTTGCTCTAGTTCGTGGGAGACCATTTCATCATCGTCTGAATCACCCACAACTGGAAGATCCATGGCGGCTTCTACTCGTGGCAGCTGGTCTGTCGCCTGAGGAGCCTCATCCCCAGCCGTAGCCAATTCATTCGATGAGGGAATGGCCTCACGTCGTAGTCGTTCGAGCTCGGCATCATCGAATATTTTCGAGCGCATGATGTACCGAACTCGGTCTGCCAGGTTTTGTTCCGTGACGGGAATAGACGGCTCCAGCTCAGCAAAAAAGCAATGCATCCGAGCCCGATACGCTATCCCCGCAGTTTCTTCCCCTTTCGCCCTATAGTACGCCCGCATTGCGTTTGCGTTCATATCCCTTGTCCAACGCATGCGGCGCACTCCACCAGCGGCGGATGCCGCTTGCCGAGTCCGAGAGGACCCTGCCGACATCAAGCCGTCTGGTGGGGATGATGGATGCGGGGGGCTGCTAGGTGATCTTGCAGCTCCTCGCGCTCGGCTGGCGGCCCGCATGCTGCCGCGTCCAGCGCCAGCTCCAGACGCGCCCCGGCGACCCCCCAGGCAGCGGCCCTATACGTTTTCCAATCTTATCCATCATCCATTTTTGGGCGCCAATTAGCGGGAGACGCCCAGGCCCGGCACCGTTTTATTGTATCATTGTACGGCCGTAAGCACAAACGGGCCTTTGCACCCTGAGTACTGCCGAGGCACGGCGCTCACACCTCTTGGCAAGGCGCTGACTGACTGCACCGACGTAGCAGTTTTGTCACTTAACTGTTTCGTCAGCGGGCGATGGGGTCGTCAATTCCCTACGCCTTAATATTATTATTATTATTATTATTATTATATAATGTGATCTGAAAATTAGAGATTATCAAATCATTATTTATATCATGTATCCCAGCATTGATCAACCAATCTCTAAATTTCAAACAGCCTTATAAATTTATAAACATTAAATACAACTTGTTTTTATTAATGAATGTTGCTTTAACCCATTGCCACCACTACTTACTTATGGCTGCGAAACTTGGGCACTTTCTAAGCAGCACAGAGATATGCTCGAACATTGTCATAGAGCCATGGAAAGGAGCATGCTAAGAATCAGAAAAATAGATAAGCAAAGAAACACACACATAAGAACAAGAACAGGTGTGACAGATATTCTCACCAAGATAGACCAAATGAAGTGGAGATGGATAGGTCATATGCTATGGAGCCCTCAAGATAAATGGAGCTATATTATTATTATTATTATATAATGTGATCTGAAAATTAGAGATTATCAAATCATTATTTATATCATGTATCCCAGCATTGATCAACCAATCTCTAAATTTCAAACAGCCTTATAAATTTATAAACATTAAATACAACTTGTTTTTATTAATGAATGTTGCTTTAACCCATTACCACCACCATCCTATATATTTTTTTTAAAGTTTATATCTTTTGTTTTTTTATGGTTGAGAAGTAATGGTAGGTTACGTCGCATACCCTTATAAATCACCACTCAATCTGTTACCACCGTTTGTTAACTAGAAAATATTTTCACTGTAGTATGAGAAAAGCCACACAAAAGAAAAAAATGTAGATAGTAACAAAAGAAAGATTAACTAACCTTATCACATTCCTCATCAGGTACTGCAGATTTGACTAGCCTCTTTCCAAAATTATCAATGAATGATGATTTCTTAAAATGTTTAGTGCACAACATTAAATGCTTATAATGAAGCTTGTTTTGAAATTCTGGTGACCACCAAGAGTCATGAGGTAAACAGTACTTCGCCCATAATTCACATCTGAAAAAATACAATTAGATAATAATATACTACTGAGGTGCTAAAAACATGCTTGGAAGAAGAGTGCAATACAAGAGATTGTTCCTTTCAAACAATGTGATTGTATTGTATACATATATAAATATTATTCCACATGTTATTTCTGTGTATACCAATACATCTATAACTACTTTATTATGTTATGATTTCCATGTGATACACCTCATGCTGTTCTGCATAATTATTATTTGCACACGTTTTTAAATCGCTTAATATGTATCTTAGGTTTTATTAGCCGATGCGGCCCATAATAATTTTTATTTCTGTTACTTTATTAATTCAGTGGTTCAAATTTAAATATTTTAAAACTGATTTAATCAGTAACCAAAAAGCTATTTAGCATACGTACCGTAAGCTATTTGTTCTCCCAGGCTTAGGAAAACGATGCAAGGTGATGTTACGATCATGAGCAGGAGAACATCCACACTTGTAACATTTCCTTTCGTTTTCTTTCATGATGAAAGATAAAATTGAGTCTCAGTCTCTTTAGCACAATGCACAGCACTTGGTTTGAGTCTCTTCTCACTCTAAACACTAAAACGGAGGAACGGGATGTTCAACTCAACGTTAGTAATGTAAGAAATAAGTTAATATCAAAATATAAACTTAATTTGCAACACAAATAAACAAGAACACAACCGCAAGTGCAAGGGATTTGCCCATTTGTAATTTTGTTTATTTACCGTTGCCATAACTTGCCTTTTTATTATAGTATGCAGTTTCATATTCATACATTTTGTTACTTCAATAAAGACGTAATAAATATATGTTTAACGAAATATATTATATGATAAAGTATTATAATTATTAAATAAAAAAATTATTAAAATGATGTGTCATTTAAAATAATATTTCTTTCATGGCAAGATAACATAAAGTGCGAGGGAGATAGATATTAATCCATCTCGCTTCCTTAAAGCCCCCCAAGGTCATCTCCCGGTACCAATCTTTTATTAGGAAGTTGACTGGCCCTGGCCATAACTCCTTTAACGGCGGCCGCTCCGTCCATTTTATACAATCGAGAATAGTAGCTACATGAGCGCCACTGCAGGTGCAATGCGCAGGTGTGCGGTGCACGCGTTGTTTACAATAATTCCGACTACCCACAGAGGCGGTGCGACATATGCAAAAAAAGTATAAAAAAGTAAAATAAATATGAGCTTTCTACATTTACATCCTCTGCTGGATGTAGGACTTTATAAATCAGTCAATATAAAAGCTTTTTTTGTAAAGTTTGATAGATTCCCCCTTATTTTAAATTAAAATAAAATAATATTTAGATCAACAGACTTACAAAATTGTGATGTGTATGCCAAGACTCCTGCAACAGTCTTACTTTACACACGACTGCAGTTTCTCACCTGAAAAACCAAATGTTAATATTAATTAATTTGGCTTTATTCCAAAGCTGTAAAGCTGTATTCTATTGTGTGTATATATTTATTTTCTTACATCGGTAGGCTTACCTTTATTTTTTTATTTTCTGAGTAATGACATGTTCATCATTTAGCTTATGCAGCAAACGTATTTCTGCATGTTTGCAGTCTGTTAAATAAACATCTACAATATCATCCCATTTTCATGTTTTCCCAAAATTATTTCTTAGACCTTTAATGAGGTGAGGAGGATCAAATATGATATTAATCTTTTGACTTCTTATTATGGTTGTGTCGTCTAAAATGAAAACAAAAATTTGGTTAATAGGCAATCAAAAGTATAAAAATACATTACTAATAATTTTTGCAATTTATTAAGAACTTTAATTTGTGGCTTTAAACCTTTCATTTGATTATCTTACCAGTATTTTCATTTGCCAATATTTTTTTTTTTATCTTCCTTCAACTTATTTACGGCTGACTGAATTGATGTTCCCTGATCTGATACCAGAGCCACAGGAACTAATCCAGTTATTATTCTCTTCTTGCTCTCTATTATATTTTTTTATATAAGTGCAGGTATAGTTCCTGACAAAAATAAAAGGTAATAGGCTGTTGCCATTTGTGTACAGCACTTCGAATGAGGAATATCTTTTAGTATCTGTGACTCTGAGTTGACAGTTACTCTACTAGTCCATAGATATTTTCATTGTACTCGTATTTATCATATGTAAGACTTGGCTCTATCAAAACTTCACCAAATATTAGCGAGCAATATTATTTCGATTCTTGCCGATTTGCAACCTAACAATAAAAACATCGGGTAATTCATCATCATCATCATTACAGCCCTTCACAAGTCCACTGCTGAACATAGGCCTCCCCCAAGGTATGCCACAAAGCACGGTCCTGAGCCACCTGCATCCATCGACTTCCTGCATGTCTTACCAATTCGTCACTCCATCTAGTGGGGGGTCGCCCTACACTTCGCCTATCGGTACGAGGCTGCCACTCGAGAACCTTTGTTCCCCAACGGTTGTCGGTTCTTCGAGCTATATGGCCGGCCCATTTCCACTTCAGCTTACTAATCCGTTGGGCTATATCGGTCACTCTGGTTCTACTGCGGATATTCTCATTTCTAAGTTTATCATACAGAGAAACTCCGAGCATAGCCCTCTCCATAGCTGATGCGAAGAGAAGATGAAGATGCGTCGTAATTTCCCGAACGCTGCCCAGCCTAGTTGAATCCGTCGATTGATCTCTCGGTCGAAGTTGGACTTACCTAGTCGGTCTATTTGTCCCAGGTAAACGTACTTGTCAACAACTTCGAGATGAGTGCTCCCAACAACTACCGGCATAGGTGTGACATGGACGTTAAACATGATCTTTGTTTTCTCCATGTTCATATTAAGACCTATCAGTTGGGAGGCACTATTGAGGTCATTGAGCATAGTGCTTAAGTCCTCCAGCGATTCTGCCATAAGGACTATATCGTCGGCAAATAGAAGGTGAGTGAGGTACTCGTCATTGATGTTAATACCGTATCCCTTTCAGTCCAGTAGCTTGAAAACGTCTTCCAATGCAGCGGTGAAGAGTTTCGGGGAAATAACAGGTAATTAACTGAACATAATAATATACTATTTGTGAAGAATTTATGAAGATTTTTATGATTTTTACAATTATATTTACCAGTTTTGTCATGATGTAGACACTGTTGTTTGTCCTATCATTTTAAAATATTTGTAGATGGATGGTGGTTCATTGTAATCTGGAAACAAATTTTATGGTAGCACATTGTGTGGTTTACTATATAGTTTTTTTAAGAACATGAAAACACAATGTATCTAGCAAATAATACATATGACATTAAATTAGATTGTTTAGTGTGATTGCCAAGTCAATCTATTTATTTAAAACATAAAAGGTTTTTAATATTGATATGGCCAACATAAGATGTTGTTAGGTTGGCTAATTACTTAATAACTTAAGACAGAAGGACTCTAAGTAAGTAAGTAAGGACTGAATAAATTAACGGTAACTTTTAACGGTAGAAGAACCGAGTTACGAGACTTGGTTTGTTTTACACGTTGTGTTTTTGATGGCATCTCATTTCTTTTTGTACGTAGCCCTACTTTTTTCCTTTCCGGTACCATCTACTTCTTGGATACCAACAAAGTACCTGTCTGCACCTATTATTCCATTATATTATACATATACAGGTACAGTGATTAATTTACTGCAAATGTTATTTTGTAACCTCTTATTTATACGGGATTACAAAGTCACTTATGCAGTTAAGGTATCTAGAAAACTGGACCAAAATTGCAAAATATTTAAATTTTTACTTGATTTATACACTAAACACTAATTATATTCTAAATGTGAAGATTCTATGTCTGCTAGAAGTGCCTTAGAGTTTTGATGATCAGTCAGTCAGTGAGTGACAAAATTAAGAAAACTTTGACTAGTTATAATTCGTATCAAAATCTCTCCTTGAGGCAATCTATGGTGGATGCCTATTTTCAGCAGTGGACTTTTATATGCTGTAGTAGACGAATGTAATGGAATGACACAAACATTGTAAAATAAGGCAAAATATTTTCTTAAAATAAATAGATTATAAAATAATAAAATTATTCATAAGTTATTTAAGATACTTTCTTATTCGGAGAAACAATGATGACGTAAAGAAGTTACTGACATAAGACTAACAAATATTGGTTGATAATGTCTTAAAATTGTTTACTTAAATATCAGAAAATTACAAAGTTGCTATACATACAAAGACTTAAGTGACACTTTTAGTGCTTGTTGCAAAATAAATTATTTGACTATACTTAAAAACATTTTAGAACAGTGACTATTCATTTCAAACAGTTATTATTTTATCTTGTTGTAGACTTTTTTTAATTTATTGTTATAAAGGACTTAGTCGCTAAGCAACTACATTATCCCGTTCTGACTTTAATTACTTAATTACTACAATCAAATACAAAATGTATTAAAGTAACAATAGTTATGTGCAATAAACACAACTATAAATAATCACACCTGAGGAATAAGTGTAACTATAAATAGTCACACCTATTCTCTACACAGAAATAAGTCTGCTAGCTTGACCAGCAACCTCCTTCGACATTGGTTAAGTCAAAATATTGTTCGAAGTGGCAATGTGAAAATTCCAATCACTACCAAAACATTCTAAATGAATAACAATAATAAACATTCTAAATAAATTTAGGACACATTCCATTAAAATATGTTGGAAATTTTCAACTATTCCGCATATGTCACGATTTGGTGTTGGGCCTTTTTTCATTAAAAAAGCAAATTTGTTCGATGGAATATGTAATCTAAGAATAGGTTTTATTTAGTTTCTTTTCAGTGGACAATTATCTATTCACAAATTACAGGTTATTTGTGGCTGAATTGTTCAATACCAGATACTCTTCAACAGACTGACAGTTATATGTAATAACTTGATTAAAGAATATTCAGATGCTACTTGAAATCACTGCGTGAGTAACACAAAGAAAACTCAACTACTAGAAGGAATCTTGCTACCCATTCTATAATAAAATATTTGGAGATGCATCGAAGGATACTAAAAACTGTTTTTCCGATGACAATTTATCTGTAAGACTAGGCTGTAAAAGCAATAAAAGTCTTATTATAGAAATGAGAAGATTTCTAAACATCCCAAAAACCCATGATCTTTCATCAAAATGTTCTTGTCATAACACTCTGCAATGAACTTTTAGGAGTTACACTATAACAGAATCCCGTCTACATCTGAATATTTTGGTAACAGGTCAACAACCTCATTTCCTCTTATCTATATATGAGGTGGCAACCTTTGAATAATAACCTTTTTGTTTTGAGATTGCAATTTTAAGATTTATTTTATTATATCATAGGCAATCTGTTCACCTCTCACTTGAAAGGCACAGCCGAATCCTATAGAAAATTTCATCAGTCAAATTGACAAAATGGTATTGAATTAATATGTGGCAGAGAGAGAGAGAGAGAGAGAGATTCAGATATAGCAATCAATTTAGTATGTATAATCGAAATTTCTGAATCAATGTTAAATTTTATACTCATTCTGAGTATGGATCCAAAATAGTTGCATGTTGTCGCTGCTGCCTTCTCTGGTTTTGTACTTAGATCCATCTGTGAAAACTTTATACCAGTTTTCATATTCGTGTCCGAGTGGTGGGAGACAGCTCATTCTCCATTACATGGATTGGGGTACGTCGGACTTCTGCAAATTTGTTTGAAAACTATGATCCGTCCCTTTATTTACATACTTAAAAATGTATTTAATTGATTCAACACTGTTACACATTTCTACGTTTATATGGGTTTGGAAAGTTCTCGATAGCACAGGTGAGTACGGCACTACCCACCTGTTATCTACTTCTACATCTTGTCCAAACATTCTCAATTTTGTGGTGAATCCTCCATACTGTGGAGCACGCCGCCGATATTTGGGATAACCATCTTCACCAGTGATTGTTTCTCTTAAAGGGGGTCTAGGATATTTTTTCGTACATTGTCCATCCTTCATGCACGGAGAATTATTATTTAATGCACCGCAAGGCCCGTGTATCATCTGTGTTTTAACAATTTGGTGTAAAATAGGATCATTTGTGGGATTTGGTAATTCTGCACTTATTATATTATCAACGTCATTAGGACGAATTTTTTGTAATAACCATAGAAGAATGTGAGCGTGGGGCAGCCCTCTTTTTTGCCATTCCACGTTGTATGTATAGCATGACGTAGCGCCAAAAACGTTTTGCTTGGTTAATAAGTTGATTAACAACTTTAACTTTAAATAAAAAACTCGACTAATTAAATCGTGTCGATCGTACGATGCTTGACCTTCTAGCAGCTCTTGAGAAATCTCGATCCATTTAGGGTTAGTAGTTATTGTTATGAAAAGATCTGGCCTACCATACTTGCGAACATAACAGAATGAGTCTTGAACGCGTTCATTCATATTTCGGGGACTCCCGATAAAGCTGGAAGGCAATATAACTAAACGTCCTAAATTTTCTATGTGTGTATCTCCCTGTACTGCATCATGAAGATCCACATAATTTTCGGCACGCAACTGTCTCTGATGAGTACGAATGAATACTAAACGCTCTGTTTCAACTTTTGCGTACATATCAACAATAAACTGGTTAAATAAGCCACGAAATCGTTGTAAATATACAAAACGACGTTGTCTTATTTGCATGAGATAACAATAAAATTGCAGAGCCGAAACTTTTCTGTCTAACCGAGGTGCTCCTGTAGCGGGGTCAACTTGATAAACCGTAAAGTTGTAACCATCTTCACCGCGACAGTAAATAAGTGGGTATTGTAAGGAGTCGTAAGAACGATGAGTCTCACTAATTCGTTGCAGGCGGTCATCACGCGTGCGTACTATAATGTCGCGCTTGTCGCATTGCTGATCCACCAGGACAACTGCCACTTCATTGGTGGATGGAGAATTATAACGGCCGGAATGTTGCACTAAAGGTCGCTTATCCGCGCTAATAACAAACTTATAATTATTGTATTCATCTTGAGGGATCGACTCTAGTACAGCTTTGAAATTGGATACATAAGGGTTGACCTGATGAAGCATGCCCTGAAGCTCTGAGATAACATTAGCGTTTAAATTTGGGAAATTCTGCCTCCTTATATTGGCTTGTTCATGGTAATCAGAAACGAAATATATTTGTAAAAACTTTGGTTCTGTCTCAGGCAAAAGCGAACCAATTAAGTGGTAGACTTGCCCCTGCACTTTAAAAGTAGGCATAAATGTTCCATGTACCACTTGCTTGGCCCCGAAAGAAGTCATCTGGAATGCCCCATTGTATGAACGGATATTGTCTAAAAACTGCTTGGAATGTGGATGGTCCCCATTAAGTAGCGATTTAAGAGGTTCTGGGGGCTCTTGAAATATTTCCAATTGTACCTTGCCAGCTGAACAGCAAAACCCGTTTGATTGTTTAGACCACTTAAGTGATTGACAATGACTACAAGTGCGAATCATTCTTCCGATCTCGGCAAATTCACTATAGTCAATATTAAAAGTGTAGGTAAAACCACTATTTTCTTTATCAACCCAAGGGAGATCAGTGTAGTTCTCTCTGTCCATAGATGGCGGAGTAAAGGTGGGTGAACGATTTATAAAAGTACGAATACGATCAGCTTGTAACCGAATTGCACGTTCACTCTCTGTCTCGTTACTCCTAATTGCTTGCACTCTTTCCCTTTGTAAAGACAAAAGTTCGTTACGGTGTTGAAGCGAATTTTCATAATATCCCCTTGCCAATTCTAAGCGTAAGTCATGCTCCTGCTGGGTTTCATGTGTCCTACTTACCGAACGGCTCTCCCTATCTGCTGCTAACCTCGCTTCATATTGAGTAAATGATTCCGAAGCACGTGATCTTGCATGACGTTCCCGGTCTGCAGTCAAGCGTTCCGAATATTGAGTTAGCGTTTCTGAAGCGCGAGACTCAGCATGACTTTCACGGTCTGCAGTCAACCGTTCTGAACACTCCGTAAATGTTTCCGAAGCGCGAGACTCGACATGACGCTCACGATCTGCAGTCAAGCGTTCCGAATATTGAGTAAACGTTTCTGAAGCGCGAGACTCAGCATGACGCTCACGGTTTGCAGTCAAGCGTTCCGAATATTGAGTAAACGTTTCTGAAGCGCGAGACTCAGCATGACGTTCACGGTCTGCAGTCAACCGTTCTGAACACTCCGTAAATGTTTCCGAAGCGCGAAACTCAGCATGACGCTCACGGTCTGCTGTCAAGCGGTCTGAATATTGCGTAAACGTTTCTGAAGCGCGAGACTCAGCATGACGCTCACGGTTTGCAGTCAAGCGTTCCGAATATTGAGTAAACGTTTCTGAAGCGCGAGACTCAGCATGACGTTCACGGTCTGCAGTCAACCGTTCTGAACACTCCGTAAATGTTTCCGAAGCGCGAAACTCAGCATGACGCTCACGGTCTGCTGTCAAGCGGTCTGAATATTGCGTAAACGTTTCTGAAGCGCGACTTTCAGCATGACGTTCACGGTCTGCAGTCAACCTTTCTGAATGCTCCGTAAACGTCTCTAAAGCTCGAGACTCGATATGACGTTCACGATCTACTTTTAAACGCTGAGAGTAATTTGTTAATGTTTCCGAAGCGCGAGACAACGCGTGACGTTCGCGATCTGTAGCTAAGCGCGTTTCATTATTAAAACTGGACTCTGATGCCCGAGATTCCGCAGTTTGTTCTCTATTGTAAGCTAAACGGTGCTCACGGTCCTCATTTGTCTCTTGCGATCGAACTTGTCTCATCCTTTTAGCCCTTTTTAGTGTATTGAGAAAGACTACTTTTTCTTTTTTTGCGGCATTATTTAAAATTTATTCAACAACCAAAACACAAACTAAAATCCTTATCCGAAAATGTAATCACGTATGTAACAATTTAGTGATCACTTAACCTTAGACTACAATAATAATATTATTTAATTCAATTTAATTTAATTTAAATTTAATATATTATTACAGTCTAAAAAATCCAAACAACTAATTCCGTATCGTAAGACAAAATATCAGAAATCCGTAATATGATGTCATGAAAGGTAAAAGAATAGAAAACTTAGCACACAGTATTATCACAAATATAACAACTTTTACAAATTATCATATTGAGTAGATATAAAATAATGTGTCATTAAGAAAACTCACGAAAAATCTTACCTACGCGAGGTAGATGTTCAGCAATGACATCTAACGGAACGTAACGGAAAATAGTGAAATAAAACAATTATCATTGTACCAATATATATTTCATAAAAAAAAATAGTTATATTCCTATTATAGGATAGAAAAGGACCTAACTAAAAATTATAATTGTTTATTATGTATTTATACAAATAATATATACAATTTAAATAGTCGCCGTGAAGTGACGTAGTTAGAGAACCATACTGTTTAATGAGGGCTAATAATTTTCTGCTCACCAGATGTCGCTAGTTGACACTGAGATAAAGTTTTTTGTTACACAATGTCATTTAATGGAGAAGTAAGTTTTTAATAAAAGTTTATCAGTTTCTAGAGTATTATACTAATACACAAAACAATGAGTCAGTGGTTTGCTGTTTAATTTTTTGCACATTTTTAACTTTTTTAAAATTTTTCTACTTTCATGAATATTATGTATTTTTAATTTTAAAAATATAAAATATAGCAACAGTACAGAAAGAAACATTAACCTTTACATTTTTCGAACAAATTAACTTCCCCGCCCTGATATCTGTCAAATATTATACCTCACTTCACCTTCACAAGTGGCGCCACACTGGTGGCAGAAAAAGGTGTGGATGCCGTCATTGTAACTTACTTTTTTCTTAAATGGCGCTATTATGTATTTAAATTAAACTTGATTTTCATAACGATAGACAAAATTTAAAAGCAATACATACATATAAAAAGCTTCTATAAATGTTTATATTTTTTAATAAAACTTTAATATGTATAATAAATAATTTATTAGTGCCTGAAGGGAAAACGTAACACTTTTTGCATTTTAATAATAGATGGCACTGTCTTATAAACATACAACGTAGTCGGTGAAGTTTTAAACTAAGTTTCAACGGTTAACATAGTATATTAAGCTTCAGTTATAAATATACATTACAAATTAAGAACTTTATGTAATCTACCTTAAGACTAATGATATTTTATGCACTTATTATAAAATTAACTCCAAAGAAAGGTAAAAAAACAACCTTCTTTTTTTGATGCTCCGTAATCGGATAAAAAGTAGCGTATAAATTGCCCCGGGTTCTTAACTACCCACTTACAAAATTTCATGTAAATCCGTCTTGTAGTTTATGAGTGAATCCGGAATACACAGACAGACAGACAGACAGACAGACAGACAAAAATTCTAAAAACTACTAATTTGGTTTCAGTACCGCTTGTTTAGTCCCCTGGACTTGTTTTTTTTCAAAAAATAATAGAATTACAGACACGACTTTTCTACAGATTTATTATATGTATAGATTATAAATAAAACTTAATGAAAATCATTATTCACTCAGATTGATAGCAAGATCCCTAAATGCAGCAGAAAAACACAAATGGTGTTTCCTTCAAAGGTGGATAAGAAACAAAATAGGGAAAAGAAAACAAACAAGTTGTAAGTAGATTAATTGTATATAATTTTTATGATCTACTTTACTATATTTTCATGTTTTGTACATGTACATGTGACACTGCTGTTGTATCTATGAACAACCATTATTAGGAGAATTATGAGGAAAAAGGCATGATTGTATGTATAAAATAATATATAATAAAAATAAATAAATGTATAAATCATTTATTTTCTCATAAATACCATACATTACACACGGACACTAAAATGGTACTATCTACTTAGTAAATAGTTACCTAACATCTGGTTGAGCCTAACGGTTTTTAATTAAATAAGTAAATCATGTCTGTTACAGGGCTGGCAAGGAAGCTTTATTAAGAAGCAATATAGAATTTAAGGAACGGGCTATAGCAGTGTTGGAAGAAGAACATAAATTAAAAATAAAATTTCAAGAACAAGAAATAGCTGATCAGCAGTTGCGGCATAAACTGGAAATTGACATATTATTATTAGAAAAGACAAAAAGAAATTTGAATTAGAATTGTTAAAAAAAACTAGAATATAAGGACTAATTTTACATTTTTTTAATTTTTGTTTCTTATATTAAAAATTTTGGTTGATAAAACGCTGTCTAATAATTGCTCCTCTAACTGTAGATCTCTCAGTCTGTGGCCTGTGCCGCTGACGAACATACCGAACTATATCAATTTCTTCATTCATATCAGTCGCTATGTTTTATAGCACTGCTAATGCTACAATTGTGGTTTTCGCTGTGCTTAGTTTCATAAACATGCCTCTTAATAGGCATCTGAATCTTTGTTTCCACAAGCCAAAACATCTCTCCACTGTATTCCTTGTTCTAATGTAAGCTCTATTGTAAGCTTCCGCTTTGTCATTACTAGGATTAAGCAAAAGTGTAAAGAGATATGCAGTACATGCATATCCACTATTCCCAAGTAATCTTCCATGAAAATCGCCACGTTCAAAGCGTTTTTTTATTATGCTTTCGTTGAAAAATTGAAAGTCGTGAGCACTTCCTCTCCAACGTGCAACTATGTCTCCGATTTTCAAGTTTGAATCACAGACAACTTGCACGTTGATAGAATAGTAATCCTTTCTGTTCACATAGGCTTCACTCATATCGCCACCTACCCTTTTGACTCGTATATGCGTGCAGTCTATAGCCCCTATCACCGAAGGGAAATTACATATACTTCTAAATCTTCTGATGGTTTCCTGTTGATCTTCTAGTGTAGTGGGCATGTTAATGAATAAATGAACTTTTTTAGCTAACGCTTTCCCAACTTTATGAGCGATTTTGCTCACTGATTGCTGAGAAATCCCATGCATATCTCCACTGTCATCTTGAATCTGAAATAAAATTGCAAATAATAGGTAAACATACAGAATGATGTGTGAAGCTATTCTTCTCTACCGTCGCCACACGTAAGCATAGTTTAATTTTGTATGAATCGAACTTACTTGATGATGAGCCCAGTACCGTAATGCACAAGCCACTTGCACTGCTGGATCTATTGTGTTACCACGAGAATCACTCGGTATATCGTCTTTCACAAGATCTAATATTTTTCTAGCAAAAAGTTTGCTGAACCTATATTTTTTCTTAAATTTGATGTCGTCATAATTTTCAAACGGATTAACCCTCACACGAACCGTATTACTTTCTCGGAACATTTCCGCATAGTTATCCATGTCGTCTTCATCGAATTAATCAACAATATCAATTATATCCATGTTAAATAAAAATACTGAACTGACGTAAAAGATAGGTTAGACACTAGTTAAACAAGGATTTTCGGCTGTTTAAAGGGCATTGCCCATTTTCGGCCATGGAACGCCCAACAATGTGAATTTGTAACACTATTTTGTTTTGGCGCTTTGGCGTACAGGACACGGTAATGCGTTTTTGGCGTGGAGCTCAAAAGGTTAAAGCTTAACAAAACGCAACTGCACAATTTAACTGTTCCTAAAAATATATTTCAAATAGCATTTAAATAAATAAAGGAAAATATATTTTAAAAAGCCTGCAGAACTTAAAGCGCCTCAAAGATTGTTTTTTTAACGATATTATTAATCGAATAAAAATCGATATCCTTTCATCGATTTTATGTCAGTTAAGTGGCAACATCGAGTCTGACAGCTAAGCCCTGTCACAGAATGAAATCACAATTCAGTTCAAAACTATAGTCATATATATAAATAGTCACATGTAGAATTCATTTGCGTGTTATTTTGTTTGTTTTTATTTTTGTGAATTTGTTATCGAACTAACGAACAAGCGTTATAATTGGACTCTGACATTTTTTCCCATTCTACTGACCACGGCCTGAACAGGACCCCGCACCCGCTTCCTTCAATAACCCCTGCACCAAACCTTGGACTCGATATCCACTGTTAACAATGATCCCAGCTTCCACGCCGGCCAGACTTCTTCCCAGCCCTCGGTAACTCATTCAAGAGGACATTTTCGCTGTGTAAATTGTTGTTTAAATACAGCGAAAACACGAAGGCATTTGTTGGAAATTCCAGAACTGCGAAATCTTATACAAGAATGGGTTCGACCACAGCAGGTAAATAGTTACAATCATGTGTCATGTCTTCCTTTTCTTCATTCTACAATTGCAGCAATGCTTATTAACTGAGTTATCTTATAATTATATCAATAGATATAATAATTATGGCTTCTTTATTAGGTACAAGTTTCGAGTGATAGTGTAGTATGCCACGCATGTTGGACTGCAGCCTGGAATCAAACACGACATCCAACTAGCGAACAGGAAAATTCACCAATTATTAGTCATTGACATGTATGTATCAGCTGTGGCAAGTCACTTTTGAGAATAAGATCACACACATTGTTTGGGTCTGATTCTCCACGTGAGGAACTCATAAGGAATGAAATTGCCCATCAAAATGCACCACGTGAGGTACGTGTTCAACATTTTTTAATTTATTAAGTGTGTGTGCTCATATCTGATAGTGATACATGTTTTTACTCTGATTACATCCACACAAACTATATCTGACAAACATACAAGCTTATTTATAACATGGCGATAAGATTAGCTTGTCACCACCAGGTAGAGTGCTACCGTTTTTACCAACTACCAAGTAATGAGACAATTGTTTTTCATTGTTTTTGGACTACTGGTACTTTTTAAGTGCTTAATTATTAAATAATATGGGCCATTAAATCTGCTTTTGTGCAGTAACAATTAACTTGATAAATATTTTATATGTATTTGAGTTTAAAGGAAACAAATCTATTTTATTTTTATTTTGTTCACTTTTTCACTTTTGTATTTAATATTATTTCAGTTGCCATCGTCATCTCGTGTGTGTCATAATTGTTGGCGAAGGTTTGATAGCGCAGCATCACATTTAACTGCAGAACGGGAACCATCTGAATCATCTAGTTCATCCTCGTTGCAATCTGAAGTCGGTAATGTATTGCACCCAGATCAACAAAGCTTAGATCATATATCACATAGTATACTGCTGCCTAATTATGTAAGAGCACCACTAACACAAAATCAATGTTTTTTTCCTGGTTGTAACGACTCCAATCGACTCATTGTTCCAACAGCGTTGCGGGTACGTCTTTTTTGCGATTACAATTACTATGTACCTCCAGAATGTAGAATCTGTAACTACCATTTAAATAGTAACTCTTGGGATTTACTTTTAGAATCAATATATAATCCTATTAAAACATTTAGTGCAGCACAAATTGAAGATTTTGCTACATTATTGAAAGATAATATGCATAATCATATAGACTTTGAAAATATTGACAGTATGCCTGAGCACACTGTACATTATTATCTAGGCTTATCAAGGGCACAACACCAACAAATTCTGTCTGTAGTTCCTAGAGTGTCAAGTAAACATAGGGGTTGTTTTGCACTTGCTGCATATTTAATGAAGTTAAGAATAGGAGATAGTGACGAACGCATGTCAGCATTATTGCAAGTGCCAAGAAGCACAATGATTTCTTATATTTACGCGAACACTACACATGATTAAAACTACTTTTACGGATTTTATCGCGTTTATTTTTGCTTTTAATTACTTTTATTTTTAATTCCCGACGTTTCGGGCGCTTTCCAGCACCCATGGTCACGGGGGACTCCTCCCCGGGGGGAAAGTAGTTTTAATCATGCCAAGAAGCACATTAGAGCGGCTTATAAATATGGCCCGCGAAATAATTAATCAGGATTTTGTTCCTATGAATTTGGGCATAAATCATATATCCCGAGCAGAAATAGCTCAAAGAAATCTTCTCATTCCAAATGGACTTTATGGGGGAGAAAATAGGAGGCCTGTCATAATTGCCGATGGTACATATATATACATAGAAAAAAGTTCCAATTATTTATATCAGAAAAAAACTTACTCATTACATAAATATAGCAATCTTATAAAGCCTTTCCTTTTTGTGTGTAGTGATGGTTACATCATAGATGTTTTAGGCCTTGATCCTGCAACAACCTCAGATGCGGATATCATAAAAAATTAATTTGGCAATGAATCCAGTTCATTAAGGCAATATTTTGAATCTGGAGATGTATTCATCCTAGATAGAGGCTTTAGGGATTCATTGCCTCTTTTAGAACATTGTGGTTATCAGGTTCATGTACCTTTGTCTCCACCCGATGGTGAATCTCAGTTAACGACTAGAGAAGGTAATAAGTCCAGAGCCGTGACTATGTGTCGATGGGTAGTCGAGGTGGTGAATGACATTTTTAAAACTCAATTTAAAATATTTCGCCAAAATTATTTTAACAGGGCTTCTAAACATTTGATGATAGACTTTGCTGTGGCTTCTGCTCTAATTAACAAATTCTACACTAAAATAAGGGACAGGGATGATGCGGCTCAAATACTTGAAATAGTTCACCAAAATATGGAGACAAATAATGATTTGTCTGTGTATGTTAGGGAACGAAATCTAAATAGAGCTAGGGCAGACTTTAGAAATATAAATGTAGACTCTGAAAATGTTAGGGAATTTCCTGTTTTAACTTACAATGATTTAATATTCATTGCTTGTGGCACATACCAATTAAAGCAAGCTCGCTCCTATTATGGTGAGCATATTAGGTTTAATGGATGCTATCGGATAGAACTATGTAACAACCACAGGAGCAGCATTACGGAAGGAATAAACTTTAGCCCTAGCTGCTCTTTACTTAGGGCTAGAATCACAAGTCGACACATCAGTCGTAAAGTATATTTTATATATATTTTAATTAGTGGCAATGATTCTGGTAGAAGTGCAATTAAAAAGTATTGTTGCAATTGTATTGTCGGCCGTCGAACGGTAGGATGCTGTGCCCATGTTATGACAGTAATTTGGTATTTGGGTTGGGCACGGCATCAATTTAATATTTCGCCTCCTGCTCAATTCCTGGATAATGTATTGATTGTGTATGATACAAATGTTGTATAAGATTGTATATATAAGATAAGATTCTTCGTACGTGGTAGGGTCATGCTGCAGTTATAGTTGTAGCAC